TGTCGGTGTTCCAGGTCTGGGGCTCTTGTGCCTTTGTCCGGGATACTTCTGTGGACAAGCTCTCCTCCCGCGCTATTCCCTGCGTCTTCCTTGGCTTTCCCCCTACACGCCTGGCTGTCAGTTTTACCACCCCACCTTGCACCGTGTCCTGCTCTCTCAGGACGTCACGTTTGACGAGTCGGTTCCCTTTTACCATCTCTTCCCCTACCGCACTGCCCCTCTCCCCCCCACCCGCCGCTCTTCCGTGCTCCAGGTCCCCCTCAAGTAGACCCCCTCCCCCCTCAAGGTCCTGCTCCCTCAGGTGTGTCTCAGGTAGACCCACTCCCTAGGACTGTGCGTGTCGTCACTGTAGACTTAGGTGCTGCTAGAGGTGCTGCGTCTCGGGGTACTGTTTCAAGGGGTGCTGAGCCTGCGAGTGCGGAGCCTGAGGGTGCGGAGCCTGGGGGTGCTGAGTCTGAGGGTGCGGAGTCTGTGGGTGCTGAGCCTGGATTTGCGGAGCCTGGGGGTAATGAGCCTAATGGTGCGGAGCGTGGGGGTGCTGAGCCTAGGGGTACTGCGTCTGCCGGAGGTCCTACGGGTGCCTCGCCACGACTGTCTCCTCAGCGGGAGCCTCTCTCACCGCAGTAGCTCCACGAGTGGTTTGCTCAGCGCACATGTCTTAGGAGTGGCGCTGCAGGAGCTGGAGACTCTACCGCTGGATGCACTGGAGCTGGAGGTACTAGAGCTCCTAGTCTTGGAGGTGCTGGAGTTACTGCTAGAGCTGGAGGTACCGGAGTTGCTGGAGCTGCTGGTCCTGGAGGTGCTCGTACTAGAGGTACTGGAGCTGCCGAAGCTGGAGGTGTTGGAGGTGCTGGAGCTGGAGACCTTGGAGTTGGAGGCGCTGGAGATGGAGGCGCTGGAGCTGGAGGCACAGGTGCTGGAGACCCTGGAGGTGGAGGCACTGGAGCTGGAGACCCTGGAGCTGGAGGCGCTGGCGCCGGAGGCGCTGGAGATGGAGGAGCTGGAGCTGGAGGCACTGGAGCTGGAGGCGCTAGAGCTGGAGGCGCTGGCGCTGGAGGTGCTGGAGCTGGAGGAGATGGAGCTGGAGGCACTGGAGATGGAGGCGCTGGAGGTAGAGGCACTGGAGCTGAAGACTTTGGAGCTGGAGGCACTAGCGCTGGAGGCGCTGGAGCTGGAAGAGCTGGAGCTGGAGGCACTAGCGCTGGAGGTGCTGGAGCTGGAGGAGCTGGAGCTGGAAACCCTGGAGCTGGAGGCACTAGCGCTGGAGGCGTTGGAGCTGGAGGAGCTGCAGCTGGAGACCGTGGCGCTGGAGGTGCTGGAGCTGGAGGCATTGGCGCTGGAGGCGCTGGTGCTAGAGGCACTGGAGCTAGTGGTCCTGGTGCTGGAGGCAGTCTGCAGCGGCGCCCGTTTTTCGTTCCGTCGCCGTCATCGTCTCTGCCGCCACCTGACTCGGTCCTTTGCCAGGTTCTTAGTCTCCCGTCTTCTACTGGCCTTACTCCTAGCTTGCTGTGTCCACCACCTCACCAGTCGCAGCCACTGTTACAGCCAGACTCCCCACTGCCTACTCCTTCTCCTTTTGCTGAGCAGATAGACTCTCTTACAGAGCGTCGTGAGCCTGAGCCTTGTCTTGCCTTGCCTGTTTGCGCTGTTCGCACTGGTCGTCGTGTTCCTCGTCCGCGTCCTCCTCCTCCTGTCCCCAGCACTCACGTTATGGCACTTCGTCCTTCCTCTGTTCCACTGCGTGTTTTCCTGCCGTCTCCTCCTGCGTCCTCTCTTCTTGACGTTCCTGACCCTGAGTCTGACTTAGCTCATGCTGCCAGTCCTACTGTCCCTTGTCTTCTTGCCACTGTTGTCATTGACCCTTCGTTTGAGTCCGCTGGTGCGTCTGCCCTAGTTGCAGAGCTTGTTGACTTTACTGCCGCCTGTCGTCTCGCCACTAGTCTTTTTGCTGAGTCTGAGTCTGACTGTCCTTCGTCCATCGGGGGTGAGTGTGCTCTTGGCACGGACGTCTTTGAGGACAGGCAGGAGGACTTTGAGTGTCTTGCAGCAACTGTACCTTATCTCGTGGCCATGCTGCTTGTACCTGAGGGAGACCCGGATGCACCAGACATCCCAACCCTGCGCTCTTACGCGGAGGCGATTACGGGTCCCTACTCCTCTCAGTGGCAGACAGCCATGGACGCAGAGATGGCATCCTGGAAGTCCACAGGCACCTACGTCGACGCAGTTCCCCCTTCTAGGGCGAACATAGTCAATGGCATGTGGATTTTCAGGGTGAAGCGGCCGCCAGGTTCTCCGCCTTTCTTCAAGGCTCGTTACGTTGCACGAGGCTTCGGTCAGCGACAGGGAGTTGACTTCTTCCAGACCTTCTCCCCTACCCCAAAGATGACCACTCTTCGGGTTCTGCTGCATGTCGCCACTCAGCGTGGCTACGAGCTGCACTCTCTCGACTTCAGCACAATTTTGTTACAGTGCAGCCTGCACGAGGAGATCTGGCTGCACCGCCCACCTGGCTTCACTGGGTCGTTTTCTGCAGGTACCCAATGGAGCCTCCGGCGGCCAGTCTACGGTCTCCGCCAGGCGCCTCGCGAGTTGCACGACACACTGAGGATGACACTTGTGGCTCTTGGATTTGCTCCTTCTACTGCTGACCCGTCGCTGTTTCTGCGCACCGACACTTTGCTGCTGCCATTCTACGTCCTCGTGTACGTCGACGACTTGTTCTTTGCCACTGCTGACTGAGGCACTAGCCCTTGTGAAGTCGGAGCTGCAAAAGAGACACACCTGCACTGACCTGGGTGAGCTGCGCAGCTATCTTGGCTTTCAGATCACCCAGGACAGAGCACGGCGCACCATCACCCTGACTTAGTCACACATGGTGCACCAGGTCCTTCAGCGCTTCGGCTTCCGGTCACTCGCTCTCAGCTCCACCTTCGGACGAGTCCGTAGAGCCGAGTGGCCTATATCCAGAGCTTGTGGGCTGCCTCATGTACCTAATGACCTGCACTTGACCTGACCTTGCCTACCCTCTTAGCATCCTAGCACACTACGTTGCGCCTGGGAGACACCGACCAGAGCACTGGGAGGCTGGTAAGAGGGTAATGCGCTACTTGTGCAGTACATCAGGCATGGGGCTCGTGCTTGGAGGACGGGGTCTAGTTGTTCTCACTGGACACGCAGACGCTTCTTGGGTTGACGACTTGGCTACGCGACGGTCGTCACAGGATTACACTTTCAGCCTTGGCTCCGGCTCTGTTTCTTGGCGGTCTACCCGCTCGTCTTCTGTTCGCAGTTCCACTTGTGAGGGTGAGATCTACGCGACATTGCTGCACAGGAGTTACGCTGGCTCACCTACCTGCTGACCGACTTGGGAGAGCGGCCTTGTTTGTTGGAAGTAATGAACGAGAATGGATGAACTATGAAAGAGTCGGGTTCAAGTACTAACCCTAATTGGGTTGTACCCCTTATGGGCTACCCCACTATAGCCTACACAAATGTAAAAGCTATAATGTTCTCACATCGTTCTTCTCCAGTTCTGTACGTAGACAACAAGGCCATGATTGCCTTCTGACAGGAGCACTGACTGGAGCACAGAACGAAGCACATCGCTCTGCGTTACTTCCTTTCTCGAGAGCTGCAACAGCGTGGTCAGCTTCGTCTTGCTTACGTGGCCACTCGGGCCAACACTGCTAATATATTCATGAAGGCACTTCAGTCTGGTGATCATGAGCATTTTTGTACTGTTTTAGGCCTTGTGCCTACTTTGCCTCACTATGTGACTTTGCTTGTACTGTGATCTGTATATATCTATATATATACCTGCATGCTTACACTTGCTCGGGTATGAGCACTGTACTGTTTGTTCTCTTTTATATAACTCTGCATGCGAACTGGCCTTGTGGCCATTTGCTTGTGCTCAGGATGTGTGGTGACTTCGTAATCCACCCTGAGCTTGCTTTGCTTTTTCTTGACTGGTCTTGCGACCACTTGTTCTCCCCCACTTTGCCTATGGGGGTGTGTCAAACTGTTTTAGTGCTTACATTGTGTAGGCTGTATTGGGGTAGCCCATAAGGGGTACAACCCAATTAGGGTTAGTGCTTGTACCCAACTCATTCATAGTTCATTCATTCTCGTTCAGTATTCTGACAAATACTTATACGCGAAACATGCAAACGGTAACGCGGTGCGTGCGAGCTAGACCGTGTCAGAATCCCAATCACTATACCATTGGGATAAAAGGGCTTGTTAAGTAGCGGGTCAGAGCGCCCATAACCCCCCAGGACAACGAGCCTGTAACCCTTCCCTAGGATCAATCGGGGATCACCGGTGGACCTCTGACAGCTAGTGCTACGCTGGCGCGAGGTTCGGGCTAGTCCCGAAGCGTAGGCCGACTCGGCTGCTCCACCAGTGCGAGGTTTGGTGAAACAGTGCGCGCGAAGTTGGCGAAGCCCCGTTAGCAATAATGTGCAAACAACGGTTGTGGCTGTACGCGATGTTAACGGTCGCAGTAAGGAATAGCGAGAAAATTCCTTACAGCACCACGTCATGCGTTCTGCTGATTTCCAGGGACTGCTTATAAACACTGCCATGGACGCATGTGGCATATGACTGGAGCAAATCTGTGCAGAGGCATGCGGTGCTTCTCAATAGTATTAAAGCTCATAAATAGTATTGGGTTTCCATCTTATGCTCATTAAACAGTCATGTGCTACTCTGTCTTGACACTCTTTGGGCGGCGAGGCTTGTACACCATTGACAAGATAATTAGGAGAACTGGGATTACAGTACCACTATAGTACATGCCACTATAGGCTGAGAATGCACCCGATAGTGTCATCACCTGCAGCAAGAACAACCATAGCAAACACAGTCAAACAAGAGGCAATGCATATAAAGGAGTGGGCAGCGGAGATGTGTGGCGGCCCAGAGCGAGCTTTACGGCCCCAGCAGCAAAACTTACTGGAGAGTCCATAAAAATTTAGTATAACATGCACACTCACGCAGAAGGCGCTGGCCATGTAGGTGGAGACGAAGATGCTATAGAGGGTATGAAGAAGTGCCACAATGCGGTGGGTACTGGTGCCCTTGGGGATTCCAGCTGTGAGCTGGTAGATGGCTGCATGGAGGGGAAGAGACATGAAGGGAAGGGGAGCAGGGATAGATTTGAGAAGGATGGATTAGAGCGCTTGTTCACAGAAACTGGTGAGCCCGAGTAACGGGTTTTGATCCCATGGTGGAGAAAGGGGAATGGGAAATGGGTATGGGATTTGGGTTTCGAATGGTGATGGGAGTGGTAGTGAGAATGGGAATGGAAAATGGATATGGCGAGAGGTATGGGAGTGCACAGTAGAATCGGATGGGTATGGAAAAGAAAACAGGCTCGGAAGAAGGAATAGAAATGGGATGGCAGCGCACGAATGAACATGGAAACTGAATGAAAGGGGAAAAAAAGCTTGTCACAAGTGTAGCAGTTTGCAAAATTGTGGTGGTCTTCAATTTCTATGAATGCAACAATCAAGCTCCATTGAAGGAAAAGCTGGCTGTTTTGGGGTGTGTACACACCTTTGGAGCTGGCAACAACAAGCGCCCAATTGGCAAAGAATATGAGGTCACCCCAATTCAAGCCCTGCAGGTAACACAGAGTGGGGGATTGGTAACAGTGCACACAGTCAGAAGATTATGGGGTGGGAGACACAGTCTTTGAGACCAACAAATAATCTGAGACAGAGACAGATACATGGGTGGTAGGGGTGACGCACATAGGAGGCAGAAGCATGAGTGGTAGGGGTGACACACATAGGAGGCAGAAGCATGTGCAGTAGGGGTGATGCACATAGGAGAGAAACGCAAGGAAACAGGTATGGAGAACGCACATGGGAGGTAGTAAGCATGTGGAACGGGGTAAGGAAGAATGCACATGGGAGAGAGAAGCATGGAACGGGGAAGGAAGAACGCACATGGGAGACGGCGCTGATGAACATGGTGGCGAGCATGTGGACGAAGGTGGGCTTCCTGCCGGGCGGCACCATTCGGTTGTACACGTCTGTGCCCAGGGGGGCGCAGGTGACCAGGGGTGGGTGGATGGCAGGGAGTCACGAGAGAGAGAGCACAACGCATGACGCATGACGCATAACGCATGGAGCATGGAGCATGGAGCATGGAGCATGGAGCACGTGTATGCCGGGCAATGAGGAAAGGACTAGAATGCTGGGAGCACATGCACACGAACGAGAGAGGCGAGAAGTTAAAACTCGCAGAGGTCCTGGAATGGATTTTAGAGGCCCAAAGAGGTGAAGAGAGCCACAAAGTGGTTCAAAGGGATTCAGGAGAGGTGGAGGTGCAGTGCGGCGTGGTGGACTCACAGAGCCTGAGCCAAAGGCCATAAAAGATGTTCGACTGAAAAGTAATATTGAGGTGCGGTGTGGACTCTCTAAGCTTGAGACAGGTGACGATTGAGTCGACTCAAAACTCACAGAGCCTAAGCCAGAGGCCGTAGGAGATGTTCCAGTTGGTAGCAAAGTCGAGGCAGCTCTTGGGGAACTCAACCCCCAGTATGTCCACATTGCGAGCCCGGCTCCACAGCGCCTTCCTCTCCCCAGCAGGCGCTGCACACGTCCTAGCACCCTCCTGCTTCCCCGCATCCCCATCACCACCGCCCTTCCCATTGACCTTCGCCCCCTCCAATCCCCCCCCGTTCCCCTTCACGTCCCCACCCTTCCCAGGGTCCCCCGTGGGGGTCTCCCAGCCGCTGAAGCCGAGCCCGGCGGTGATCATGGCAGCCTCAGTGATGCTCCAGAGGATGTACGCGCGGAAGCGCCACACGATGCACGCGTGGTGCGCGAGGAGCCAGCGGCGGTGGAAGGGGTAGGCGCGGTTCTTGTGGCTGTCGCTGATGCGCGTTAGGTCGAGCGAGGGGGACACGAGCAGGAAGACGAACGCTGAGAGGACGCCCTGGATGAACGCGCGGCAGAACGGTGGGAAGATGGGCGGCTGCTTGAGTCCCGGGGACCAGATCTGCAGGTGGTGAGGAAGGAAGGGGATGGGCGGGAACGCGCAGAGTGGCGAGGCGCGGGGAGATGACGGCTTGAATGACAGAAGGATGGCGGAAGGACGGACGGATGCTTGAAGGTCCATATGTATATGTGTACGTACGGTGTGACTGTTGCTCCAACCATAAGTCTGGAAAAAATCATCAGTGGTGAAAACTGCCAGCAACAAGTAGCTAACCCGCGTCTCCTAGAAACATAATATTCTAGGTTATTTGGGGTTCAGGTTAAAGCCCGCAGCCCAAATTGCGGAGCGCACAGGGCAAGATTACTAATCTTGCATGCTTGGTGTTTTGGGCGCTGTAATTTGGCGAATTATTGGTTACTGAGCGTGCGGAGCAATTAGATTGGTGGAGGGATGGCGGAAGGACGGACGGCTGCTTGAGCGTGAAGGTCCAAATGTGTGCGGCGAGGAGAGGCGATCAGTGGAGAGGGGGATACACGGAAAGTGTGGCAACCCTGAAGGAACGTACCCCTTGTCTTTGGGTCCAGTCGTGGTAGGTCGTGAACTCGAAGAAGGGGCCCGTCATGTGCAACCCGAGGCAGAACAGGTACCCCATCACCTGCACCACCGACGGCATGGTAACCAGCGCCGCCTTTCGCCTCTCCAATCGCGAACGCTCCGTCCGCTCCTCCCGCCGCCTCTGCTCCTCGGTCAACTCCTTCCTCTCCTCGTCCTTGGCTTGCGCGCCTTCGTCCTTCTCCTCGAGCAGCGTGAGCCCGTCCTGGTAGTTATACGCCACAGCGGTGAGCTTTGTAGCGAGGACGGTGAGCGCGCCTGTGCAGTCGAGCACGCCCTCCGTGCGGGTCTCGTGGGTGCGCATGATGATGTGGCTGCACGAGGTCGGATAGAGTTGAACGAGGGAAAGCACGCACTTGAGAAACGGGAAATGTGAACGTTGGTGATTGAGGAAGTTTGAAGCGGGGAATGCGGAGACGGAGGGATGTTCGCATGAAAGGACGGCTAGAAGGGAGAGGATGCAAAGAGCGGAAACGCCGAGACGGCTGGCAATGACGCAGAAGGCGCTTACCGTTTGCACCAAAGGCTGCTACCGCCCTGATCTTGTGGCTTTGACTCGCGATTCCAAAATCAGAGAAACACCAAGAAGCAGAGAACGACAAGGAAGGGGAACTTACCACCCGATCAAGTACGCGAACGTTCCGAAGAACGTTAGGACGCCGCATTTTCCACGAAAAAGCCGCATTACGGTCATGGAGTAGAGCATGCACACGAAGAAGTGCGCGACCGCCGTCCATCCGAACACGAACGCCGATAGAAGCAGTCCCGTTACTGTGCAGTACAGATGGCGGAGTGTAGGCGATGATATGAATCTGTGAAGCCACGCGATCGGGACGAACGCGAAGCTAGCTAGCAGGAAAGTCGCGGCTGGAAGGGGCGTGCCGATAAGGTCGGCGAAAGCCTGTACGGGATCCATGGCGAACCCCATGGCGGACCCCATCATGGCGAACCCCATGGCAGATCCCTTGGCGGACCCCAACACAAGGAAAAATAGTGGGCCGATGCAAAGGCGAAAGGCGGGTCGAGGCACTTCTCGCTCTTCGAAAACCGCATGAAGCCGGTGATCTAGTCAGCATACTCCTTCTTTTGTCCATTTTAAAATTATTTATGCAAGCAGGAAGATATCCAGGAGGCGAGAGAATCACGAACTCTGTCAGGCTCCGACCAGCAGCACCGCTACAACCTATGCAAAGAATTACAACAGCCTATGACTAACTCGGCAAGACTAAGATTGACATGGGTTATGACTACCATTTTCGCCAATGACTGAGATGGACATGAGCATACGGTGGTGGTGGTGGTGTGCTGCTGACAAAATCGCAACCAACCATCGAAGTTGGATGGAACGATGGCAAATCTCGACCGTTGGCGAGGATGAATCCAAAGACATAGGCAAACCGCGATGACGTGTCGGGAATGACCCAGAGTCAGAGACGAAACTGAGTCGCCCTGTTTGATAGGCTAACACTGTAACAGTGCAGCAGCCGAATGCTGCCAGCTGCAATGCAGGTGGGCGGAAGTCAATCGTTACAGTGCAGCAACTCAACTCCAAGAACAGTGCAGGTGGGCGGAAGTCAAGCGCCACCTCACCTACAGTTCGGATTGGTCAAGCGCCCCATCCTGCAGCTGGGCGACCAGATTCCGACACGCAGCCCAAGTCAATCCCACGCACGAAAATTACGAAACGCAGGACTCCGAAGTTCCGACCGCTCGCCGACTTCGCCAACAACACCGACGAAATTACAGCCCCGTAACCAAGCTCGCTGTCCAATACCGTACAGCAATAATTCTCTGAATTTCACGGCAGGTTCATTTCAAAGGGGTTGGGTTACCATCGAGAAATTCAGAGAGAGTCGCGACTTGGGAGTGCGACTCGATGTTTGAATTGGCTCTAAAATTGTACTGTCAAATTTGTGAAGTCATAGTGCAATTTCCAGAGAACTCCAGAGAGCACTCTATACTCGTTTTCCTAGCCTACTAAGGCTGCTACTTCCCTGCCAACAACGTTTCAAACACCTTGGTGGTGTTCGCCAGCACATGTAAATTTGAAATAAATTTGACAGCATCGGGATGGCAACGGTATCAGGAACCGGGAGCAGAACCCACCGAAGAGGTTTGGGCGAAATGACACTCACAAAACATCAGGTCCCGATATGGGAAATGTGGCAACCGCATCTGGAACCTCCATCCCCACCTTCCCCCCTAGTGGCGCGAAATTTTTGCGTCACTAACCATTGCCTGACCGGGGGGCAAAACTACTGGACTAGAGTTAAAGTCGAAAAGAAAAAATGAGCCAGCTCAAGTACAAGGGAAAATATGCCATTCGTAACCAACAAGGGCCTCGATAATATATTTGGTAAAAAAATAACGAGTACGGTCAATGCAATGGGTGTTTTCAAGTGTTTGATAAAACGTTTCACGGAATCAGTCACAATCAACTGGGAAAAAATAACGCAAATGGTCACAGATGAAACTCTCGCCCAAAAAAGATAATACCCAAAACGAACCTGGATGCATTTTCGGATGAATCAACCCTAAAAACAACTCGTTATTTGTTTAGGGTTGATCTGTACCCAACTATCAGAATAATGAACGAGGATGATCAACTATGAAACAGTTGGGTACAAGAACTAACCCTTATTGTGTTGTACCCCTTATGGGCTACCCCACTATAGCCTACACAATATAAGCTATACAACATTTTGACACACCCCCATATGCACAGTGGGGGAGAACAAGTGGTCACAAGACCGGTCAAGAAAAGCAAAGCAAGCTCAGGGTGGATCACAAAGTCAGTCCGAGCACAAGCAAAGGGCCACAAGGCCAGTTCACATGCAGAGTTATATAAAAGAGAACAAATAATACAGTGATCATACCCTAGCAAATGCAAGCATGCATGTATATATATAGATCACAGTACAAGAAGAGTCAAACAGTAAAAAAGTGGGGCAAAGTAGGCACAAGGCCTAACACAGTAGAGAAGCGCTGATGATCACCAGGCGGAAGTGCCTTGATGAATACATCAGCAGTGTTGGCCCTAGTGGCCACGTACGCAAGACGAAGCTGGCCACGCTGCTGCAACTCTCGAGCAAGGAGGTATCGCAGAGCGATGTGCTTCGTTCGGTGCTCCAGTCTGTGCTCCTGACACAAGGCAATCATGGCCTTGTTGTCTACGTACAGAACTGGTGGCGAACGAGGCTGCTCTCCCAAGTCAGTCAGCAGGTAGGTGAGTCAGCGTAGCTCCTGTGCAGCCATGGCCCCTGCGTAGATCTCAGCCTCACAATTGGAGCTGAGAACCGAAGACGAGCGGGTAGACCGCCAGGAAACAGAGCCGGAACCGAGGCTGAAGGTGTAACTCTGTCACGACCACTGCGTAGCTGAGTCGTCAACCCAAGAAGCGTCTGCGTGACCAGTGAGGACAACTGGACCCCGTCCTCCAAGCACAAGCCCCATGCCTGACGTACTCCACAAGTAACGGAGTACCCTCTTCGCAGCATCCCAGTGCACCTTTCGGTGCCTACCGGGAGCCACGTAGCGAGCCAAGAGGCTAAGAGGGTACGTGAGGTCAGGTCGAGTGCACGTCATCAGGTACATGAGGCAACCCACAAGCTCTGGGTACAGACCACTCCGCTCTACGGACTCGTCCGAAGGTGGAGCTGAGAGCGAGTGGCCGGTAGACAGAGGAGTGGGCTGTGGCGAGGAGAACTGGAAGCCGAAGCGCTGAAGGACCTGGTGCACCATGTGTGACTGAGTCAGTGTGATGGTGCGCCGGGCTCTGTCCTGGGTGATCTGCAAGCCAAGATAGCTGCGCACTTCACCCAGGTCAGTGCAGGTGTGTCTCTTTTGCAGCTTCGACTTCAGAAGGGTCAGTGCCTCTGTGTCAGAAGTGGCAAAGAGGAGGTCGTCGACGTAGACGAGGAGGTAGAACGGCGGCAGCGAGATGTCGGTGCATAGAAACAGCGATGGGTCAGCAGTAGAAGGAGCAAACCCAAGAGCCACAAGTGTAGTCCTCAGTGTGTCGTGCCACTCGCGAGGCGCCTGGCGGAGACCATAGACTGGCCGCCGGAGGCTCCACTGGGTACCTGCAGGAAACGACCCAGTGAAGCCAGGTGGGCGGCGCAGCCATATCTCCTCGTGCAGGCTGCCCTGCAAGAAAGTTGTGCTGAAGTCCAAAGAGTGCAGCTCGTAGTCACACTGAGCAGCGACGTGCAGCAACACTCGAAGAGTCGTCATTTTCGGGGTGGGAGAGAAGGTCTGAAAGTAGTCGACTCCCTGTCGCTGACTGAAGCCTCGAGCAACGTAACGCGCCTTGAAGGCAGGCGGAGAACCCGGCGGCTGCTTCACCCTGAAAATCCTCATGCCATCGACTATGTTCGCCCCAGGTGGGTGAACCTCGTCGACGTAAGTGCATGTGGACTTCCAGGATGCCATCTCGGCATCCATGGCTGCCTGCCACTGAGAGGAGTAAGGACCCGTAATCGCCTCTGCGTAAGAGCGCGGGGTCGGGATGTCTGGTGCATCCGGGTCTCCCTCGGGGGCAAGCAGCATGGAAGCGAAACGAGGTACAGCGGCTGCAAGACACTCAAAGTCCTCCTGCCTGTCCTCAAGGACGTCCGTGCCAAGAGCACACTCACCCCCAACGGACGGAGGACTGGCAGACTCAGACTCAGCAACAAGAGTAGTGGCGTAGTCTAGACGACAGGCAGCACCAAAGTCAAGCAGCTCAGCAACGAGAGCAGACGCAGCAGCAGACTCAAAGGAAGGGTTAGTGATAGCAGTGGCAAGGAGACGAGCGACAGTGGGACAGGCAGCACGAGCGCAGTCAGACTCAGGGTCAGGGACCTCAGGAAGAGAGGACTGAGGAGGAGAAGGCAGAGGAACACGCAGTGGAACAGAGGAAGGACGAAGTGCCATAGCGTGCGTGCCGGGGATAGGAGGATGACGCGAACAAGGAACGCGACGAACAGTGCGAACAGGCGAGACAGGACGAGACGCAGGCTCACGACGCTCTGTAAGACCGCCGGATTGCTCAGTGTAAGGAGAGGAAGCTGGAAGTGGGGAGGCTGACAGTAACGGCGGCTGTGACTGGTCAGGCGGTGGACACAGGAGGGGAGGAGTAAGGCTAGTGGAAGACGGGACACCAAGAACCTGCTGAAGTAGGGGAACGAAGTTCGGTCGCGGCCGCACAGTGCCTCCAGCACCTCCAGCTCCAGGGTCAACAGCTCTAGCTGCTGCAGCTCCAGCGCCTCCCGCGCCAGTGCCTCCAACTCCATCTCCGCCAGCTCCAGCGCCCTCAGCGCCAGT